CCCCACACGCACACACACACAAAACAAAATAACAATGATCTTTGACAAAAACTTGTTTAGAGTTGATGCTGATAGCTTTCATTTGCGAGTCAGACACAATTAAGGTTTATGATTCATAACTTATCTCTCTTCCTCTCTATACATGTTATTCAACATTCCACAATCTTTCCGAAGCCTTAATATAGTTAAACCCTCACAAACTCCTCTTGTTGTCCACCTATCATGACCAATACAAATAAAAATTCATGGCTTCCTATCCACGTGTACAGTTGATCTAAAATCGCCTTTATAAGTTAGCTAACATAAAAAACCTTTGATCTGAATTTCTCTTTAATTTTTCAACGATGAAACCCCATCTATCTACTTCCATAAAGTTTAAGCCAGAAATTTATTAAAAAATACTAAAACTAGCCTCTACCTTCCTTGGCCTTCTACAAACCTCCAACAAATATAAAAAGCTATTAACAACCCCGCATGATGTTGCATCAGAAGAGCCAAAAGGGTTCAAAACCCTATAAATCTTGTCATAAAAGTGACGATCATCGTCATTATATAAGTGGCAACCCTATTTTGGAATTTTTTCATCAATGTTTTTTTTTTTTTTTTCGCTAAAATACTTTTATTTCAAGAGATGATATTCTACTTCTTTAAAAAGTAGTTTTTAGGTTGTAATTGAAGATGATTAATGATGCAGTAAAGATATGGCGTTTCTTTTTTGTCCTTTATGGGATTAATTTTTTTCTCTTTGCTGTGATGTTTTTTCTCTCTTCAATCTGTCTCTTCCCTTGATGCTTTCATTGAGCTCCTCAATCTCCTTTTTTTTTTTTTTTTCAGTTTCTCCTCTACACCGAATTTTCTCGCAACATTCAGTATATCAACAGAGGTTCACAATTTCATTTTCATTGTCTCACTTGTCATTATTTACTCTATCCATCATAAATGCTGAGATATCTTATCCTATTTTTTCACCTTATTCTTTTTACCGATGTATTTGCATGCTTGTTATCTTTTCTAGTTTTTCTAGATCATTCTTATTATTCTGTTTGTTTAAATTTTCGTGCGTTTGTCTTTACAGAAAGTTCTTTGTAAAAAACTATTAGCTAGTTGCTATTTTTGAAAATGTTTTATCAAGTTTCTATCGGATAATATTAGGATGTGTTCAGCGGGCTGGCCTTGCCGAATTAGACAGGATAGCCTAGGTATATTGATCTAGGTTATTACCATGCTAGATGGTGTGATATATGGTTCAAAGTTTAACATGTAACCCTAAATAACAGGCACATTAAAAGAGAGGATTTCATTAACTTTCTGTTCATATGGTATGAACACGGAAATGAAAAAAGTTATGTTATAATTAAAAATAAAAAGAATAATCGTAGAAAGCATGAAAGATTTTTTTCCCCTAACTTTTAATGTTTGTAGATTGGTTATGTGCAGCCCTAAATGATTAGAAAATGTTAGATGGTTGATTATATGCAAACATTCATCAAATAATACTAAAATGCATAAATTAACTTTTGCAATGAAGATGGATGTAAGTCAACTTTCATACGAGGATTTTTATGTTGAGAAAGTGTTA